GAGGCGGATTTGTGTACACGAGACAGAGTGAGAGGTCAGTGGGAGACAGTCTGTGGAACAGTGTGTGAGACAGTAGGAGACAGTCTGTGGGACAGTGTGTAAGACAGTAGGAGACAGTCTGTGTGACAGTGTGTGAGACAGTCTGTGAGACTGTGTGTGAGACAGTCTGTGGGACAGTAGGAGACAGTATGTGGGACAGTAGGAGACAGTGTGTGGGACAGTAGGAGACAGTCTGTGAGACAGTCTGTGGGACAGTGTGTGAGACAGTAGGAGACAGTCTGTGGGACAGTGTGTGAGACAGTAGGAGACAGTCTGTGGGACAGTGTGTGAGACAGTAGGAGACAGTCTGTGGGACAGTGTGTGAGACAGTAGGAGACAGTCCGTGGGACAGTAGGAGACAGTCTGTGGGACAGTGTGTGAGACAGTAGGAGACAGTCTGTGAGACAGTAGGAGACAGTGTGTGAGACAGTAGGAGACAGTGTGTGAGACAGTGGGAGACAGTAGGAGACAGTGTGGGACAGTGTGTGAGACAGTAGGAGACAGTCTGTGGGACAGTGTGTGAGACAGTAGGAGACAGTCTGTGGGACAGTGTGTGAGACAGTAGGAGACAGTCTGTGGGACAGTGTGTGAGACAGTAGGAGACAGTCCGTGGGACAGTGTGTGAGACAGTAGGAGACAGTCCGTTTGACAGTGTGTGAGACAGTAGGAGACAGTCCGTGGGACAGTGTGTGAGACAGTAGGAGACAGTCCGTGGGACAGTGTGTGAGACAGTAGGAGACAGTCCGTGGGACAGTCTGTGAGACAGTAGGAGACAGTCCGTGGGACAGTGTGTGAGACAGTAGGAGACAGTCTGTGGGACAGTGTGTGAGACCGTAGGAGACAGTCTGTGGGACAGTGTGTGAGACCGTAGGAGACAGTCTGTGGGACAGTGTGTGAGACAGTAGGAGACAGTCTGTGGGACAGTGTGTGAGACAGTAGGAGACAGTCTGTGGGACAGTGTGTGAGACAGTAGGAGACAGTCTGTGAGACAGTAGGAGACAGTCTGTGAGACAGTAGGAGACAGTCCGTGGGACAGTAGGAGACAGTCTGTGGGACAGTGTGTGAGACAGTAGGAGACAGTCTGTGGGACAGTGTGTGAGACAGTCTGTGGGACAGTGTGTGAGACAGTCTGTGGGACAGTGTGTGAGACAGTAGGAGACAGTCTGTGGGACAGTGTGTGAGACAGTCTGTGGGACAGTGTGTGAGACAGTAGGAGACAGTCTGTGGGACAGTGTGTGAGACAGTAGGAGACAGTCTGTGGGACAGTGTGTGAGACAGTAGGAGACAGTAGGAGACAGTCTGTGGGACAGTGTGTGAGACAGTAGGAGACAGTCTGTGGGACAGTGTGTGAGACAGTAGGAGACAGTCTGTGGGACAGTGTGTGAGACAGTCTGTGGGACAGTGTGTGAGACAGTAGGAGACAGTCTGTGGGACAGTGTGTGAGACAGTCTGTGGGACAGTGTGTGGGACAGTGTGTGAGACAGTAGGAGACAGTCTGTGGGACAGTGTGTGAGACAGTAGGAGACAGTCTGTGGGACAGTGTGTGAGACAGTAGGAGACAGTCTGTGGGACAGTGTGTGAGACAGTAGGAGACAGTCTGTGGGACAGTGTGTGAGACAGTGTGTGAGACAGTCTGTGGGACAGTGTGTGAGACAGTAGGAGACAGTCTGTGGGACAGTGTGTGAGACAGTAGGAGACAGTCTGTGGGACAGTGTGTGAGACCGTAGGAGACAGTCTGTGGGACAGTGTGTGAGACAGTAGGAGACAGTCTGTGGGACAGTGTGTGAGACAGTAGGAGACAGTCTGTGGGACAGTGTGTGAGACAGTAGGAGACAGTCTGTGGGCAGTGTGTGAGGACCATTGGAGACCAGTCTGTGAGACAGTAGAGACAGTCCGTGGGACAGTAGGAGACAGTCTGTGGGACAGTGTGTGAGCAACAGTAGGAGACAGTCTGTGGGACAGTGTGTGAGACAGTCTGCGGGACCAGTGTGTGAGACAGTCTGGGGACAGTGTGTGAGACAGTAGGAGACAGTCTGTGGGACAGTGTGTGGGACAGTGTGTGAGACAGTAGGAGACAGTCTGTGGGACAGTAGGAGACAGTCTGTGGGACAGTGTGTGAGACAGTCTGTGGGGACAGTGTGTGAGACAGTCTGTGGGACAGTGTGTGCGGACAGTAGGAGACAGTCTGTGGGACAGTGTGTGAGACAGTCTGTGGGACAGTGTGTGAGACAGTAGGAGACAGTCTGTGGGACAGTGTGTGAGGACCGTAAGGAGACAGTCTGTGGGACAGTGTGTGAGACAGTAGGAGACAGTCTGTGGGACAGTGTGTGAGACAGTAGGAGACAGTCTGTGGGACAGTGTGTGAGACAGTAGGAGACAGTCTGTGAGACAGTAGGAGACAGTCCGTGGGACAGTAGGAGACAGTCTGTGGGACAGTGTGTGAGACAGTAGGAGACAGTCTGTGGGACAGTGTGTGAGACAGTAGGAGACAGTGTGTGAGACAGTAGGAGACAGTCTGTGGGACAGTGTGTGAGACAGTAGGAGACAGTCTGTGGGACAGTAGGAGACAGTCTGTGGGACAGTGTGTGAGACAGTAGGAGACAGTCTGTGGGACAGTGTGTGAGACAGTAGGAGACAGTGTGTGAGACAGTAGGAGACAGTGTGTGAGACAGTAGGAGACAGTCTGTGAGACAGTAGGAGACAGTCTGTGGGACAGTGTGTGAGACAGGTGTTCATCACGTAACGGGGAAATCGATGAGGAGAGATGAACTGATCCAGCAGCTCAGATGAAGCGGAGCAGGTTCAGGTTTGTCCGTGTTGCTGTGGTGATTTAGACAAACCTGCTTATGGGAACCGTGAAGCCTGAACTACGTCTCATCCTGAAAGGTATCCGGCTAACGCCGTCGATCCAAAACCCGTCACGCTCTGTATCTGTGTCTCATTTGGTGGACTGCATCCTCATGAAGACCTTCAAGGGCCGAACAGGCTGGACCGAGCGCTCTCTGAAATGGGACGGTCTGTCCTCCAGGGGACTTCCTGCTCGCGTCATCAGCGTTTCCTCCGCCGCTCCCGTTGCCTAGCAACCTGCTGCGCTTAATACTAACAGCCTTTACACTAAATAATGCAGATAGATGATGTAATTTTCTTCGTATTTCATTTAATTTAGGAAGATATGTTTCATGATGTATTTCAGGCCGAGAGAAGAACATTTTCCAGTCATACTCACTTCAAATCAGTTAAGCTTTCAGCTAAAAGTAATATTTTAGTCTTCAGGAAGAGGAAAAAATCAATCCATCGATCAATACTGTCAATAAAACTCTAGCAGCAAACACATATTTAATAACTTATGCAAGGACTTTCTTGCGTATACAAGCTACTTTAACTGTAACTACAGAATTACAGAATGTGTCCAAACTACAGCAGCTGAATCGTTCTGCTTCAGCGTGATGTTGCTTCCTAAAGCAAAACTAAATGTATAGTTTGTTTATAATGACACTAAACAAGTTCTTTAAGTTTCTTTGTGTGTTTCTTCTCGTTTGTAACGTTATAGAAAGTAATATTTCAGGTAAAAGTATGCATATATCTCATGTTGCCATTCTGTATGCGTATGTATGAGTTTTAGTAGCCTATATATTGATTTAACATACAGTAAATACGCATGTGTGTATTTATTGGACCTATCAGTTTAATGTTATTTTCGTATGAAAACCCATGGTTATTATTCATAAGTATGCAGTGTCATAAATACATCTCTGACATTTTTAACAAACCAAACTGTTTACAAATCTGTTGAAAATTGATCAAGTTATGGTTATTTAAAAAGTACACGTATCACTACCAACACAATGTTATGGGTGAGCGAGCTGACTGTAGCAAGATGGCCGCCGTGTGAGGACCTTCGACTCCGTTGGCCGCAACGTGGACCAGACATCTATCCTTTATGTATATATCTATGGTAAAAACACTTCTGTTTACCGGGAACTTATAAACCGGAACTCCGTGTGAGCGTCGGAACATCGCGGAGGAACATGTTGTGCCGCACTGCCTGCTGGGTAACATGTGAACGGCAGCGCTGCGTTGATTGGAGCTCCGCGGCGCGTGGGGATAGAACGTAAAGAAACAAGGTGAAGACCAACGGACTTTAATGGAGAAACGAGGATAAAAGAGAAGAGACGGAAGCCGTCGAAGATCAGAAAAGGTCTAACAGGAATCATGAACGTTTGTGTTAGCTGCTAATGCTAGTATCACAAGCTAGCCTGCATGATTACTAAGGCAATGGTAAAGTAGTGTTACAAATACAGTTACTGCAGTGGCAACACGGAGTTACTACAATTCTACTAATACTGTAGTATTACTATAGAAGCAGGAGTAGAGCTACTGTTGCTCACATTAGTACTACCATCATCAGGTGTAGTACATCTATAACTAATACCGACTGTACAGTAGGTGTCTATTAATGTATGTGCGCATACGCGTGCAGACATGTCTCTCTCTCTGTCTGCAGAGAGAGACAGGATCCAGCGACAGGTGGAGCAGCTGGAACAGGATCTGTCTGCCACGCACACTGAGCTGGAGCTGCTGAGCAGTGATACAGGTACCTGTCTGTCTAACCTGTCTCACTGCTCTGAGCTGGAGCTGCTGAGCAGTGAGACGGGTACCTGTCTGTCTAACAGTGTTTTTGTGTTTCTGGTCAGATGATGAATCAGATGGTGATGACACAGAGGAGGAGAGACAGGTAATTCTTTCCTTCTTATTAAATAAAAATATAACACGATAATGAAAGCATCTATTAGCATAAAGCATATATTCTATTCTATTATCACATATTCCAATATTATAAGAGAGATGAACTGTGATGATTTGTGTTCAGTCTGTTTTAGGTCTGTTTGCTGAGAGAGAGAAAATCCAGAATGAGATCCACAACCTGGAGGAAGTCCTGGGACAACACAGCCCTATCAGCGTCTCGGGTACCTGTCTTGTCTCTCTGTCCTATCAGCGTCTCGGGTACCTGTCTGTCTCTCTGTCCTATCAGCGTCTCGGGTACCTGTCTGTCTCTCTGTCCCATCTGCGCCTCTGGTACCTGTCTTGTCTCTCTGTCCTATCAGCGTCTCGGGTACCTGTCTGTCTCTTAGTCCTATCAGCGTCTCGGGTACCTGTCTTGTCTCTCTGTCTTGTCTCTCTGTCCTATCAGCGTCTCGGGTACCTGTCTTGTCTCTCTGTCCTATCAGCGTCTCGGGTACCTGTCTTGTCTCTCTGTCCTATCAGCGTCTCGGGTACCTGTCTGTCTCTCTGTCCTATCAGCGTCTCGGGTACCTGTCTGTCTCTCTGTCCTATCAGCGTCTCGGGTACCTGTCTTGTCTCTCTGTCCTATCAGCGTCTCGGGTACCTGTCTTGTCTCTCTGTCCTATCAGCGTCTCGGGTACCTGTCTGTCTCTCTGTCCTATCAGCGTCTCGGGTACCTGTCTTGTCTGTCTCTCTGTCCTATCTGCGTCTCAGGTACCTGTCTGTCTCTTAGTCCTATCAGCGTCTCGGGTACCTGTCTGTCTCTCTGTCCTATCAGCGTCTCTGGTACCTGTCTTGTCTCTCTGTCCTATCAGCGTCTTGTGTACCTGTCTGTCTCTCTGTCCTATCAGCGTCTCGGGTACCTGTCTGTCTCTCTGTCCTATCAGCGTCTCGGGTACCTGTCTGTCTCTCTGTCCTATCAGCGTCTCGGGTACCTGTCTTGTCTCTCTGTCCTATCAGCGTCTTGGGTACCTGTCTGTCTCTCTGTCCTATCAGCGTCTCGGGTACCTGTCTGTCTCTCTGTCCCATCTGCGCCTCTGGTACCTGTCTTGTCTCTCTGTCCTATCAGCGTCTCGGGTACCTGTCTGTCTCTTAGTCCTATCAGCGTCTCGGGTACCTGTCTTCTCTCTCTGTCCTATCAGCGTCTCGGGTACCTGTCTGTCTCTCTGTCCTATCTGCGTCTCGGGTACCTGTCTGTCTCTCTGTCCTATCAGCCTCTCAGGTACCTGTCTTGTCTGTCTCTTAGTCCTATCAGCGTCTCGGGTACCTGTCTTGTCTGTCTCTTAGTCCTATCAGCGTCTCGGGTACCTGTCTTGTCTCTCTGTCCTATCAGCGTCTCGGGTACCTGTCTGTCTCTCTGTCCTATCAGCGTCTCGGGTACCTGTCTTGTCTGTCTCTTAGTCCTATCAGCGTCTCGGGTACCTGTCTTGTCTGTCTCTCTGTCCTATCTGCGTCTCTGGTACCTGTCTTGTCTCTCTGTCCTATCAGCGTCTCGGGTACCTGTCTGTCTCTCTGTCCTATCAGCGTCTCGGGTACCTGTCTTGTCTGTCTCTTAGTCCTATCAGCGTCTCGGGTACCTGTCTTGTCTGTCTCTTAGTCCTATCAGCGTCTCGGGTACCTGTCTGTCTCTCAGTCCTATCAGCGTCTCGGGTACCTGTCTGTCTCTCTGTCCTATCAGCGTCTCGGGTACCTGTCTTGTCTGTCTCTTAGTCCTATCAGCGTCTCGGGTACCTGTCTGTCTCTCTGTCCTAGCTGCGTCTCTGGTACCTGTCTTGTCTGTCTCTCAGTCCTATCAGCGTCTCGGGTACCTCAACATCATATATTCTTGTCTGTTGTTTTTTCGTCAGATGACGAGGACAGCAGCAGCAGTGAGGAGGTCAGTGATGTCTTCACATCATCTACAGAGAGACGAGTCAGTGTAATACTAACGGTGTCTGTACCCGTCTGTCTCTCTGTACCCGTCTGTCTGTACTTGACTGTGTTCAGAGTGAGCTGGGTCTGTCTCCGTCAACGGATTCGTGTCTTCAGATGAACCTCGTCTACCAGCAAGTGGTTCAAGAGACGCTAGACCAGTTGGAGACACTTCTGACACACAACCACAGACAACAGGTCAGCACTGACACATCACATTACATTACATCACATTACATTACACTACATCACATTACACTACATCACATTACATTACATCACATTACATTACACTACATCACATTACACTACATCACATTACATTACATCACACTACATCACATCACATTACACTACATCACACTACATCACATTACATTACATTACATCACACTACATCACACTACATCACATTACATCACATTACATTACATCACATTACATCGCATTACATTACACTACATCACACTACATCACATTACATCACATTACACTACATCACATCACATTACATTACATCACACTACATCACATCACACTACATCACACTACATCACATCACATTACATCACACTACATCACATTACATTACACTACATCAAATTACACTACATCACATTACATCACATCACATCACACTACATCACATCACAATGGCTACACGGCTACGGCCGACGGGGTGTAAGTTACGCTACGTGCAGCGAATCGGGTTACAGATGCAGCGTTTACCGTCAGCGAGGTTGGAGATGAACCAGTGTGGGTTTTTTAGCGTAAGAAGTGTGATGTGCGGCGTGAGTGCGTGAAAACATGCAAACGCGTGCCTCACACGGGGAAACCGTGGGAGTTGTCAGCCTGTAGCTTTGCTGGCTAACTTGACAACAACTTTCCTAACAGTCAAACATTATTTATTACTATCATAGATAAACATTCCAGTATCCTATTTGTGGTATCGTAAGTATATAAGTACAATTTAAGTGCTACAATTGCTACAAATTGACACACGACCACAGACCACAGGTCAGTACAACATGCATCATGTGCATGTTATGTTTCTCACTGCAGAAGGAGCTTTTGTCTCAGTTGTCCGGCCCAGTCAAAGAGTCCCCCAGGGAACAGCCCGTCCACCCGTCCTGCCAGAAGACAGTCAACATGTACCTTGGCCGCTTCCTCAAACCGTACTTTAAGGACAAACTGACAGGCCTGGTAAGACAGACAGACGGACAGACGGACAGATGGACAGACAGACAGACAGACAGACGATGAGACGGTCTGCTTTTCCGTCCCCAGGGTCCTCCAGCCAATGATGAGACAAAGGAGAAGGCCAGCAGGTTGACTGGTTGTCTGGATGACAAGAAATTGAAAGTGAAACGATGTAAGAATCAATCAAACCTACTTTTACTTTCATCATAGATTATTATCTATACTTGTATATCAATTGTCCTCCTGTCTGTCTGTCTGTCTTCAGGGGAGAGCTGGCAGAAGACTCTGTTGATCCACTCGGTTACCAGAGACAGTCTGAGGAGAATCATCCAACCTAAACTCTCCAAGTAACAATCTTTTCACTATTTAATATTACTAGAATGTCTAAGTAACATCTAGTAACACCACCTTAACACCACCACACTAGAGTAAACGCCACCTCTACACATCACAGTATTGGACCCGGCGTACGCATGTAGTTGTGTCACTGATGAGTTGTCGAGTGTTGCGTTGACTGTTAGTTTGTGTTTCTGATGAGCGTCTCCGTCTCAGGGTGGACTTCCTGAGCCAGAAGCTGTCCAGAGCAGCAGAGACGGACAAGGAGCCGCTGAGACAGCAGCTGGACGTTCTGGAGAGAGAAATCGAACTGCTCAGGTGTGTGTGTGCGTGTGCGCGTGCGTGTTGAAGCTGGTGGGTCGCGGGTCAAACATGCGCCAAGAACACAAAGGCTTTTTTCAAGGATTTGAGTGAACGTCAGAGGTCGTTTTCTTCCCCACCGATCAACAGAGAAAAAGGCTTTTATTTTGAAAAGTGAGCAGATTCTTTGGTTATGTAAACGTATCTGGACACACACGTCACGCACAGCGACTACTGACAGAGACGCACACACACACACACACACACACTGACAGAGACGCACACACACTGACCGAGACACACACACACACACTAACAGAAACACACACACACACACACTGACAGAGACGCACACACACACACACACACACTGACAGACACACACACACTGACAGACACACACACACGCATGTACCAAACTGATACACAAGTGAAGTAAACCGTGTTCGTTACATCTCGTTCCTACTTTTGTATTTGACCATTTTAAAGTGATGGAGGTCAGCGGAGCGTCTTGATGGAGACGGGTTGAAGGGTTCGACCCTTTGAAGGAGACAGGAGACAGGAGACAGCCAACAGGAAGTCGGCGTCTCGTATTGGTGTTGTTTGGGGTTCTAGCAAAGCTCATTTTACAGCCATCGCTTGTTTTCCAGTTATCGTAATGTGAGTTATGACATTTGGGTCTCGTGTATATTCTTACTTATTAGTTCTCACTGAGACGCGTGAACATTCCTCTCCACTAAGTAGCGTTAGCTCGTCAGCTTTAGCGGGTCTATGCTACAATAGCAGCTGATGCTAATGGTTGTACCTGTGTAATGTGAGACGGTCTCTGATTGGTCAGAGCGAAGACGGAGGACCAGCTGGTTGGGGATCGATTCGATGAACACGATTGGCAGAAAATCTCCAATGTTGATGTAAGTCCAAAAATCAGCCAATCACACGCCTGACTGTGGACACGCTAACTGAGCGATAACTTCTCCTCCTCCCCTCCCCTGTCCGTCTCTCCCCTGTCCGTCTCTCCTCCCTCACTCTCTTCAGTTTGAAGGAACGAGGGACGCGGAGGACATCCGTTGTTTCTGGCAGAACTTTCTCCACCCGTCCATCAGTAAGACGAAGTGGAGTAAGGAGGAGGTGCAGCAGCTGAAGGAGATCAGCAGGAGACATGGAGAGAGAGACTGGGAGACCATTGCTACCGAGCTGGGGGTGAGGCGAACCTGTCTGTTTCTCACATGTCTCTCTTTGACCTGTTTGTCTCTCTTGCTGACCTGTCTGTCTCTCAGACGGGGAGGACAGCCTTCCTGTGTCTCCAGACCTTCCAGCGGTTTGTCTCGGACTCGTTGAAGAACGGCACGTGGACTCCAGATGAAGACGCTCTGCTGAGAGAGCTGGTGGACAAGATGAGGATCGGCAACTTCATCCCCTACACGCAGAGTAATGACATCACATGGTGACATCACACTGCATCACAGGGTGGGCGTGTCCCTCTGACAGCCGTCTGTCTCCCTCACCTGTCTGTCTCTCAGTGAGTTACTTCATGGAGGGGCGGGACCCGGCTCAGCTCATCTACAGGTGGAACCAGGTTTTGGACCCGAGTCTGAAGAAGAGGCTTTTGGACCAAAGAGGAGGACCAGGTAGACAGGGGGCGGGGCTTAGACAAGACCCACCTGCTCTTGGTAGCAGTGACGGGTTCTTTTATTACACCGACTAAACTCATTTATTTAATACTAATTCCTTCTGTCTTTGGATCGCACACACGGCACTAATGTCTCTCTCTGTCCTCCTGTCTGTCTCTCAGCTGCTCCTTAATGCCGTGTCTCGTTTTGGAGAGAGGGACTGGTGGAAGATCCGCTTTGAGGTTCCTGGACGCACTGACTCCGGCTGCAGGGACAGGTGACCGCTGATTGGACCACAGACGCTGTCCTCTGGATTCCTACAGAAAGTGAACGTGTGCGTGTGCGTGTGTGCGTGTGCGTGTGCGTGTGCGTGTGCGTGTGCGTGTGCGTGTGCGTGTGTGTGTGTGTGTGCGTGTGTGTGCACAGGTACTACGACTGTCTGAAGGCGGAGACCAAGAGAGGACCGTTTGACCAGCAGGAAAAAGATCTGCTGGTGCTGCTGCTGGAGAAGCACGGAGTCGGTGAGACACGCTGTGGTCAGAGGGAGCAGAGGCTCATGGGTAATAAAGTGCAGTTAAGATCCTGTGTGTGTGTGTGTGTGTGTGTGTGTGTGTCTCAGGCCGTTGGGCGAAGATTGCTGCAGAGATTCCTCATCGTAACGACGCTCAGTGTCTGAGAGAGTGGAAGAAGCTGAGCAGGCCAACAGAACGTGGTCCTAAGGTACCCGCCTGGTCCCATCAAGGAGGTCACGAGTATAGAAGGTATATGTGTTTGTACCCGAGGTCATGTGACCCTTCTCTGTCCACAGGCCGTCAAAAGGAAGGAGAAGAAGAAGCAGACGTGTCTGTCCACGAGGCAGATGAAGGAGGAGGAGAGCACTGAGGACGAGGAGGTGAAGATGGAGTACATGGACAGCGATGCAGACGAGAAGGTGAGGGAGGAGGTGAAGCAGAGTGCTCAGCAGGGGGAGCAAGTGGAGAAGGACTACACCTTCCCCCCCTTGCAGGAGTGGATTCCAGCAGAAAAAGCCCAAAGCTCCACCTCCCTGAGCTTTCGATTGGTGCAGCTCCCTTCCTCCCCCCAAGACTCGGTCCAGTTCACAGACCAGCACCCAGTCCGGTCCACCATCCTGGGCCGATCCGGCCGGTCCGTGATCCTGGGACCGGGTCCCAGGCAGCTCCAGTGGACGGAGCGCCACGCCACCAGTGCCATGATGATGGTGTCACCTGACCAGCTGCGGGCTTACCTGCACCGCCAGGTGGAGAAGTTGGAGAGGCGGAGCTCGCCGAGGAAGATTCAACACAGCAGGCAGAACCTGCTGGGAAGGATCCTGGACCCGGCTCTGTTCCTCCAGCTCCAGGCCGCCGTCACGCCGTGGATCGGTAACGTGCTGAGCCCTCACAAGAGCCGGGTCATGACGGCCGACGCCCTGAGGGGGAGGGAGGAGGACCTCCTCTCCACGCCGGTCTTCATGTTCCTCCTCCAGGCCATGAACGTGGATGCCGTCGGCTGCAAAGAGATGATTGAGCAGAGGAGGAACCGGGTGGTGGTCACGCCTCCTGCTCCGGGCCACGCCTCCAACAATCCCGTCACTGACAGGCTTCTGAAGAGGAAGACCATGAAGGAGGAGCAGCAGACCAAACTGATCCTGAAGGAGCTCCAGAGGAAACCTCCCCCTCCTCCTCAGAGCTGTCCCGTCCTCCTTCAGATGCCTCCTAGGATGTGTCCTGTCTCCTTCCCTCAGGCTGTCTTTATTCCGCATTCTCTCGCACAACCTGGCTCCTCCTCCTTCCAGTTCATGACTACTTCCTCCCCATCTCCACAAAGACCACCCCCAGTGGGGGTCCTCACCCGCCTGGTCCCTCCTGCTCCTCTTCATGTTCTTCCTGCCTCGGGGGGGCCAGTATCTTTGATTCAAAACCGGAAGGCTGCACACCAGGAGAGAGCTCAGGACCAGACCCCCGTCCCTGCCTCCGCCCGGCTGGTACCTCAGACTCCTCCCTCCTGCATGACCACGCCCCCAACAGCTCCTCTGGAACCTCCTCCTGCTCAGCTGGTTTCCTCCCCTTCCAGACCTCCTGTGTCACTGAAGGTCCCATTGCCCCCAAATGCAACAGCTACCTGCTCACCTCAGAGCCCGAGCCCGGTCCCACCCCCCCCCCTACCGACCTATCAGCTCCTCGCCCCCTCCCACCCGGGTCCACCTGCTGTCCTCGAGGATCATTGCTACGTACAAGGCAGTCATCTGGTGAACATCCAATCTCCCCGTGACTCCGCCTCCAACAAGCGCCCTGAGGCCCCGCCCAGAAGGAGGATGCAGGGTAAGGGGGAGGAGCCGGCACGTGGGACTCAGAAAGGAAAGAGGGTTCGGAACCCGACTCCGAGGGCCAGAGCTCTACAGGAAGCTGCTCAGGAGAAGGTGAGATATTTGTGTGTAGCTCTTCTTCGGACCCCCCCCCCCCCCCTTCTCTTATCTTGTTTTTCTGTTTCCAGGTCGAAGCCAAGAGGTCATCTTCTTTTCCTCGTAATAAGCGCTGTCGTATCACCGCCCCTGAGGAGGTCTTTGTTCAGCCTGCTGGGTTCTGTTTGAGACCCGGTCAATCCATGTGGGTCACGACCCCCCACGGGCTCGTCCAGCTGGCACAAGCTCCGCCCCAGGGCCTGCAGCTGACGTTGGTACCGAGCGCCCCCCTCCCTGCTCCACCTGGTCAGCTGATCGGACACGCCCTGTTCCACCCCGCTGGGTCTGTCCTCAATCAGCTCCGCCCTCTTACAGCCTTTCCCCTCCCGCAACCCGTCTCACACCCCGGCGCCTCCCCCTGGCCCTCCCCCCACCCACCAACTCCCCCAAAAGTCCTCATTTCAAATAAGTGCACGGTTGGGGTCAAGCCAGCGGCGCTGCAGTTTGACCCATCCCTCATCTTCCTGGAGACCCGAGAGGCAGTGCGTGATTGGCTGAGCGGCCCGGGGGGCGTTCCTGTCGGGGGCGGGGCTGGCCTCCTTCCCTACCTGCCTCCCTGCGTCAGCAGCTTGAACACCTTGAGCGCGCTGCTCAGGGCAAAGAGAGCCCTGACCTCCTCATCGCTGCAGCTCCTGAGGGTGGAGGAGGAGGAGGAGGAGCTACCGGACTCCACCTCTGACCTCACATCTGCACAGGACCCGTCAGGTACACCTGTCTGTCTGTCTCTCAGCCTACCGTATCAGTATTCTGGCTTTAATAAACCCACCTGCCTTTATGCTTCATGTTTTTTCAGCTCCTCCTCCTCCTCCTCCTCCTCCTCCTCCTTCCCGCCCCGTCAGCCCCGACCTCCTGAAGGACGAGAAGGCGGAGCTGGTGGCGATGCGTCAACTGGTGGCAGAGCGTTTCTCAGGTAACCCCGCCTACCAGCTGCTGAAGGCCCGCTTCCTGTCTTGCTTCACTGTCCCCGCCCTCCTGGCTACGATACAGCCAACCAGAGCGAAGCCCGGCACAGCCAATGAGGAGCAAGAGGAGGACGAGAAGGAGGAGGAGGAGATGAAGAAGATCAGAGAGCGATGCAGACAGAGGAGAGCTGAGGTGAGTCCATATTAATGACATCACTATTCTGATGTCATGTGTTTGATGAGGTTTTCTTTAATCCTCCAGAGGTCTCTGCTGCTCTGTGACGGGTCGGGAGCTCCAGCCAATCACTTCTCAGGAATCCAAGGCTCCGCCCCCGCTCCGTCGCTGTCCCAGTGAGCTCAGATACTCCAGATACCTCAGAGACTCAAATATGTTTGAAGATGTTTTTGTATTCAGCTTCTGTAATTATCAGCTGATTGATTTGTAATAAAGAGAAAGTTCATTTCTAATGAAGTTGTGTGAGGGAGGACCTGTTTGTGGGGACACTGGTGGGCGGGACACACTCACATACTTTGCTGACACACCAGGAGTGTTTGAGGCTTTCAGACATTTTGAGCCCTTTATGGACCTTTTCCATAAGAGAATTACCCACAAGTCATTGCAATGTGACGTCAACAACGGGATAACCAGCGAAAGAACAGCGTAAAGAAAGGGGACGGCAAACATGTCCCACGTCGAAGTGTCCCTTAGCAAGACACCTGACCTCTAATCGCTCCGCAGGTAAAAATATAAAACGCCACGGCTTAAAAAGTAAGTTGCTTTGGATAAAAGCGTCAGCTAAAGGACCATTAAAAGATCTAAAATCTATAAAATGCCAAATTTAGTCATCAATGCAATTTGGACAAAGAAACTGTGAAAACCGTATTTAAAATATTCGTCTCGTAAGGAAAGCGGTTCAAATCGCTGTCCCTTCATATTTACACGTCCTCCTGAGTCCTGCTGGAGGGACACCTGCTCCGCATCACAATCAACATCTGGATGGAACACCTGCCTAAAAGTTCTGACAAAAATAGAGAAACACGCAGGGAAGTGAGACGTGTCAAAACCAACATGGCTCCTGTGAACCAAAGAACAAGGAGACACACACACACACACACACACACACACTGTCTGCGTTTACCTCCGTTTGGTTACCACCTCCCTCCGGCCCCCCCCCCCCCTTCTTCCTGAATAAATACCTGTTCGCCGGTTCCTCCCCGAGCCCTGACAGGACCAGGTGACCTCAGTGAGTTCCTAGGGGTCAGGGGTCAGGGGTCAGTGGGATTGGGCCTGTAGTTCTGGTGTGTGTTCTCTCGTCTAGACGGAGACGCACACATTGATGCATAACCTGCGTGTGTGTGCGTGTGTGTGTCCACTATAGAACCCAACTAGACGCACAACTTGTATGTGTTACATTTACACGCAGTTTTCATTCTCTTCTTCGTTGGTTCCACTTCACTTTAGTGAGACATCCAAGAATGCTGTTACATCACTTCCCGTCGTCAGCTGGTGTTTCCTCCTCTGACTTCTCTAATCCTTCACTTCCTCTTTCTGTACGAACAAACTCTTTCAACCACGCAGAGTATTGGTACTATTAGTATTCCTAGTATTAGTATTAGTCTGTCTGTGTACTTGAACAACTTCTTTAATATTACACCATCAGAGTCCGTGACTGAAACAACTCAACCGGCCCGATATGTAAATGAGTGTTTACGTAAACGTCAGAGGGGGAGGAGCCAGAAAACAAGAAGTCACAGAAACGTCAACTTCTGTCTACGAAGCCCAGAAGACACAGAGTGAGACAGGTTCCATCAGACAGACAGCTGGAGGTAAGTGTACTCTGTGTGGTATATACATCCAGTGTGTGTACTACACGCTTTCAATCCGCACAGTGTGAAGTTGTATATAAATACTGTATTACTAACACTCATAGTGTGTACTACTAGCCATGGTATGTACTGGTCCTCATAGTGTACTACTAGTCATGGTATGTACTGGTCCTCATAGTGTGTACTACTAGTCATGGTATGTACTGGTCCTCATAGTGTGTACTAGTCATGGTATGTACTGGTCCTCATAGTGTGTACTACTAGTCATGGTATGTACTGGTCCTCATAGTGTGTACTACTAGTCATGGTATGTACTGGTCCTCATAGTGTGTACTACTAGTCATGGTATGTACTGGTCCTCATAGTGTGTACTAGTCATGGTATGTACTGGTCCTCATAGTGTGTACTACTAGTCATGGTATGTACTGGTCCTCATAGTGTGTACTACGAGTCATGGTATGTACTGGTCCTCATAGTGTGTACTAGTCATGGTATGTACTGGTCCTCATAGTGTGTACTACTAGTCATGGTATGTACTGGTCCTCATAGTGTACTACTAGTCGTGGTATGTACTGGTCCTCATAGTGTGTACTAGTCATGGTATGTACTGGTCCTCATAGTGTGTACTAGTCATGGTATGTACTGGTCCTCATAGTGTGTACTACTAGTCATGGTATGTACTGGTCCTCATAGTGTGTACTAGTCATGGTATGTACTGGTCCTCATAGTGTGTACTACTAGTAATGGTATGTACTGGTCCTCATAGTGTGTACTAGTCATGGTATGTACTGGTCCTCATAGTGTGTACTAGTCATGGTATGTACTGGTCGTGGTATGTACTGGTCCTCATAGTGTGTACTAGTCATGGTATGTACTGGTCCTCATAGTGTGTACTAGTCATGGTATGTACTGGTCCTCATAGTGTGTACTAGTCATGGTATGTACTGGTCCTCATAGTGTGTACTACTAGTCATGGTATGTACTGGTCCTCATAGTGTACTACTAGTCATGGTATGTACTGGTCCTCATAGTGTGTACTAGTCATGGTATGTACTGGTCCTCATAGTGTGTACTACTAGTCATGGTATGTACTGGTCCTCATAGTGTGTACTACGAGTCATGGTATGTACTGGTCCTCATAGTGTGTACTAGTCATGGTATGTACTGGTCCTCATAGTGTGTACTACTAGTCATGGTATGTACTGGTCCTGATAGTGTGTACTACTAGTCATGGTATGTACTGGTCCTCATAGTGTGTACTACTAGTCATGGTATGTACTAGTCCTCATAGTGTACTACTAGTCATGGTATGTACTGGTCCTCATAGTGTGTACTACTAATCATGGTATGTACTGGTCCTCATAGTGTGTACTACTATGGTATACTGTCCTAGTGTTAGTCATGGTATGTACTGGTCCTCATAGTGTGTACTAGTCATGGTATGTACTGGTCCTCATAGTGTGTACTACTAGTATGGTATGTACTGGTCCTCATAGTGTGTACTACTAGTCATGGTATGTACTGGTCCTCTAGTGTGTACTAGCCATGGTATGTACTGGTCCTCATAGTGTGTACTACTAGCCATGGTATGTACTGGTCCTCATAGGTGTACTACTAGTCATGGTAGTACTGGTCCTGATAGTGTGTACTACTAGTCTGTATGTACTGGTCCTCATAGTGTGTACTACTAGTCATGGTATGCTACTGGTCCTCATAGTGTGTACTACTAGTCATGGTATGTACTGGTCCTCATAGTGTGTACTACTAGTCATGGTATGTACTGAGTCCTCATAGTGTACTACTAGTCATGGTATGTACTGGTCCTCATAGTGTGTACTACTAGCATGGGTATGTACTGGTCCTCATAGTGTGTACTAGTCATGGTATGTACTGGTCCTCATAGTGTGTTACTAGTCATGGTATGTACTGGTCCTCATAGTGTGTATACTAGTCATGGTATGTACTGGTCCTCATAGTGTGTACTAGTCATGGTATGTACTGGTCCTCATAGTGTGTACTACTAGTCATGGTATGTACTGGTCCTCATAGTGTGTACTACTAGTCATGGTATGTACTGGTCCTCATAGTGTGTACTACTAGTCATGGTATGTACTGGTCCTCATAGTGTGTACTAGTCATGGTATGTACTGGTCCTCATAGTGTGTACTACTAGTCATGGTATGTACTGGTCCTCATAGTGTGTACTACGAGTCATGGTATGTACTGGTCCTCATAGTGTGTACTAGTCATGGTATGTACTGGTCCTCATAGTGTGTACTACTAGTCATGGTATGTACTGGTCCTCATAGTGTACTACTAGTCGTGGTATGTACTGGTCCTCATAGTGTGTACTAGTCATGGTATGTACTGGTCCTCATAGTGTGTACTAGTCATGGTATGTACTGGTCCTCATAGTGTGTACTACTAGTCATGGTATGTACTGGTCCTCATAGTGTGTACTAGTCATGGTCTGTACTGGTCCTCATAGTGTGTACTACTAGTCATGGTATGTACTGGTCCTCATAGTGTGTACTACTAGTCATGGTATGTACTGGTCCTCATAGTGTGTACTACGAGTCATGGTATGTACTGGTCCTCATAGTGTGTACTAGTCATGGTATGTACTGGTCCTCATAGTGTGTACTAGTCATGGTATGTACTGGTCCTCATAGTGTGTACTACTAGTCATGGTATGTACTGGTCCTCATAGTGTACTACTAGTCGTGGTATGTACTGGTCCTCATAGTGTGTACTAGTCATGGTATGTACTGGTCCTCATAGTGTGTACTAGTCATGGTATGTACTGGTCCTCATAGTGTGTACTACTAGTCATGGTATGTACTGGTCCTCATAGTGTGTACTAGTCATGGTCTGTACTGGTCCTCATAGTGTGTACTACTAGTCATGGTATGTACTGGTCCTCATAGTGTGTACTACTAGTCATGGTATGTACTGGTCCTCATAGTGTGTACTACGAGTCATGGTATGTACTGGTCCTCATAGTGTGTACTAGTCATGGTATGTACTGGTCCTCATAGTGTGTACTAGTCATGGTATGTACTGGTCCTCATAGTGTGTACTACTAGTCATGGTATGTACTGGTCCTCATAGTGTGTACTAGTCATGGTATGTACTGGTCCTCATAGTGTGTACTAGTCATGGTATGTACTGGTCCTCATAGTGTGTACTAGTCATGGTATGTACTGGTCCTCATAGTCTGTACTAGTCATGGTATGTACTGGTCCTCATAGTGTGTACTAGTCATGGTATGTACTGGTCCTCATAGTGTGTACTAGTCATGGTATGTACTGGTCCTCATAGTCTGTACTAGTCATGGTATGTACTGGTCCTCATAGTGTGTACTACTAGTCATGATATCTGTCATCATTCACCCTCTGATGACAGCAGCTGCCACACGCGTGTGGCCTCATGTTCTCAGTGTTTGTTTGGTGTGCGTGACAGCGAGGTACACACACGCTGAGGTGAGAGCGCACACTCCCTGTTGCAGAAACTGAGAAAGGCACATTTCCGTGTCACGTATCTGTATTAAGAGATGCGTAAGGTGCCTAATGATGAATGGCGCCATATGCACAGAACCCGCCTCCGTTTTGCAGTGAAGATTCTGCGGGTTTCCTCACATGTGCCTCCTGGTCAGGGGTCTTCAACGTTTTTCAGGCCAAGGGCCCCCGAACTGATGGCGAGATGGAGCAGGGACCCCCGATTCCTCAGTTTGGTCCACGCTAGACGTGAGCACGAGTGGCTCTGATTGGCTGTGATGTCGTATCGGCGTGAGAGCTGCTGTGGGACTGAAAGACGACGTCTCCTCCATCAAAATATCCGTTTCTACAACATGTTGGGTTCATGTTCATGTGTATTTAAAGACAATAAATACAAGTCTCATTCTCAAGACTTTTCAATTTGTGGGGAAAAAATTGGTTGAATTTTTTAAAATAAAAATGGTCTCATCAACCAAATATGTTGGGACCCCCCCTGCAGTAGCTCTGCAGACCCCCTGTTGAAGACCTCGGCTCCTGGTGAAATGACAGCAGTGATCTGAGCCAGAGGCCACATGGGACACGGAGACCAGCTGAAAGGGGTTTTGCCACATTGTGAACAGAAAATGATCACAGTTACTGTAAGAAATCAGAGGACTTTGCACGTCTTTACTGGATCAGGATCATTTCAGCCACAACGCTTCGCTGCAGCGCACATCAATACACACATTTCCACCACTGATGCCCAAATAACACAACAGCTCCAGTGTCACTGAATTGATGTTTTTGCTGTTTGACTTTCAACTCAATCCATTTTATTTTGTACTTGTGCTTTACAGTCTGAACACATGTGACATCCTCTGTGCCCAAAACTCACATCAGCACCGAAAACATAGAAAACCTCCAAGAGGGAAAAAAGGCCTTTGTCTGACGCTCAGCGGGAGAAAGACGCTGATCAGCTGCAGGTTTGTGAATACGACGCAAACTGAAGTATCACAGAGAGGCGCTGAGGCTGGAGACGCTACGTCATGTATGTACATGACGTAGCGTCTCCAGCCTCAGCCGCCCATCAGTAACAAGCATTCAGCTTCCACACTCAGGGCCTCATGTACGTATAGTGCCCCCTCCCACAGAGAGACTGTACTTATGTACTCATATACATGGTGTGTGCTAGACCTCATCGTATGTACCAGTCCTTCTAGTACTCATGGTGTGTATTTATCCCCCGTGGTGCATACTAGTACTCGTGGTGTGTATATACCCCTGTGGTGCATACTAGTACTCGTGGTGTGTATTTACCCCCGTGGTGCATACTAGTACTCGTGGTGTGTATTGACCCCCGTGGTGCATACTAGTACTCATGGTGTGTATTTATCCCCCGTGGTGCATACTAGTACTCGTGGTGTGTATATACCCCTGTGGTGCATACTAGTACTCGTGGTGTGTATATACCCCTGTGGTGCATACTAGTACTCGTGGTGTGTATTTACCCCCGTGGTGCATACTAGTACTCGTGGTGTGTATTGACCCCCGTGGTGCATACTAGTACTCATGGTGTGTATTTATCCCCCGTGGTGCATACTAGTACTCGTGGTGTGTATATACCCCTGTGGTGCATACTAGTACTCGTGGTGTGTATATACCCCTGTGGTGCATACTAGTACTCGTGGTGTGTATTTACCCCCGTGGTGCATACTAGTACTCGTGGTGTGTATATACCCCTGTGGTGCATACTAGTACTCGTGGTGTGTATTTACCCCTGTGGTGCATACTAGTACTCGTGGTGTGTATTTACCCCTGTGGTGCATACTAGTACTCGTGGTGTGTATATACCCCTGTGGTGCATACTAGTACTCGTGGTGTGTATTTACCCCTGTGGTGCATACTAGTACTCGTGGTGTGTATATACCCCTGTGGTGCATACTAGTACTCGTGGTGTGTATTTACCCCTGTGGTGCATACTAGTACTCGTGGTGTGTATTTACCCCTGTGGTGCATACTAGTACTCGTGGTGTGTATTTACCCCCGTGGTGCATACTAGTACTCGTGGTGTGTATTTACCCCCGTGGTGCATACTAGTACTCGTGGTGTGTACTACACCCACAGATGGAGACGGTATGTGAGGATGACCTCTGCTGGCTGCAGCTTGATGACTTCAGGATGATTCTCATCAAAACCATTGAACCTTGGAGAATCACTCCCTACTTGCGACAGTGCCAGGTACTCTTCCTCTTCTTCTTCCTCCATCTCCTGCTCCTGCTCTTCCTCCTCTGTCTCCTTCCCCTCCTCCCCCTTGGTGATTGGTGTCTCCTGTCAGGTGGTCAGTGCTGAGGATGAGGAGCAGCTCTTTAATGATCCGGCTCTCGTCATAAGGAGAAGAAAAGTCGGTGAGAAGCTCATTGTCTGACTTGGTGAGTGTGAGGTCTTCACCTGGACGATATGTTTGACCTTTGACCTCCTCCAGGAGCCTTGCTGGACCTCCTGCAAAGAACGGGTGTCAAAGGTTACACTGCTTTCCTGGAAAGTCTGGAGCTGGATTATCCTCAACTGTACAGCCGCATCACCGGGAAGGAGCCCAACAGAACCTTCAGCATCCTTATTGGTCTGTTGACCCGTCTGTCCGACTAACTGTCTGTCTCTTTACCTATCTGCCTGACGACCTGTCTGTCTGCAGACACAGCAGGCGAGTCCGGTCTGACTCAGTTCCTCATGTCGGAGCTCAGCCGCTTGCAGAGGGCGCTGCAGGACGAGAGGAGGCGGCGCCAGCAGGCCTGCTCCGTCGCTGAGGAACAGGTGGGCGGTTGCTAGGGGAGCGTTCGAGCCGCCGGCGCTCATCGCCCACAGGTGACTCTCTGTGCCCGGATGCGTTGTCTCGACAGCAGAAGCTGAAGGAGCGCGAGCTGAGGAAGCTGAGTGAGCGCGTGGAGAAGCTCCGGGAGGAGCGGCAGCTTCTGAGCGAGGAGGCGAAACAGCTCCGAGACCACAACTACAGCCTGATGTCCGAAATCAACGGCCTGGCCCAGGAAAAGAGCGCCGCCCTGCTGGCAAACCGTGACCTGCAGATAGAGGTTAGCTGACCTCTGGCCCCCAAATGACAGACACACAGAGCCCCTCTGACCTTTGACCTCTCTTCAGGTTGAACGTCTGAAACACACGGTGCAGCGAGCGGAGAACACGACCAGAATCCTGAGAAGAAGAACAGTGAGACAGGAGGTGCAGACTCCTCCCACCAACAACGGACCCAGTAATGACCCAGAACCACTGACCCAGTACCAATGATCCAGTAACTGACCCAGTATCAATGACCCAGTACCAATGACCCAGTACCAATGACCCAGTACCTGACCCAGTACCAATGACCCAGTACCACTGACCCAGTACCAATGATCCAGTCACTGACCCAGTACCACTGACCCAGTATCAATGACCCAGTACCAATGATCCAGTACCTGACCCAGTACCACTGACCCAGTACCACTGACCCAGTACCAATGACCCAGTACCAATGACCCAGTAACTGACCCAGTACCAATGACCCAGTACCAATGATCCAGTACCTGACCCAGTACCACTGACCCAGTACCAATGACCCAGTACCAATGACCCAGTAACTGACCCAGTACCAATGACCCAGTACCAATGATCCAGTACCAATGACCCAGTAACTGACCCAGTACCAATGACCCAGTAACTGACCCAGTACCAATGACCCAGTACCAATGACCCAGTACTGACCCCCCGCTGTGTGAAGGAGTGGTTTTGAGTTTTTGTCACTGATGCCACATTAAATTTTCTTTTCTTCTTTTCAGAGCAACATTCTGTCTCCTCCCAGCGAGACCTTCTCCCACGCAAACGGAGCGGAGGAAAAGGAGGAGCAACAGGAGGAGAAAAAGGAGGAGAAAAAGGAGGAGAGAAAGGAGGAGAGAAAGGAGGAGAAAAAGGAGGAGAGAAAGGAGGAGAGAAAGGAGGAGAGAAAGGAGGAGAAAAAGGAGATTGACTTCCTCACAACAGTGCTACGGCTGAGGAGACAACTCCACAGAGCGGAGGAGCAGAGCGCCAAGGTGAGGTGGAGGTGGAAGATGAAAAAAGGAGGAGGAGCAGGATGTAGAGGAGTAGTTAAAGAAGTACGATGAAAAGGAGGAGAATGAGGAGGAGGAGCAGGATGAGGAGAAAGATGAAAAAAGGAGGATGAGGGAGAGGAGCAGGAAGAGAAAGGTAAGATAAAAGGAGGAGAATGAGGGAGATGAAAAAAGGAGGTGCAGGAGGAAGAGTAGTAGTAAAAGAAGTAAGATAAAAGGAGAAGGAATGAGGAGAATGAGGAGGAGGAGCTGGAGGAAGAAGAGAACAAACCCTGACGATGTTTGTTTTCAGAGCCTGGAGGAGAAGGAGGAGCTGGAGCTGTTCTCCACCCGGCTGAAGGGAGATGTCAGGATGTACCGTCAACGAAACAAACAAACCCTCAGACAGCTGGAGGAGGTGATCAGAGAGAGAGACAAGGTGAGGAGGAGCAGGAGGAGGATCTGGAGGAGGAGGAGGAAGATGATGATGAGGATTGATCTTTGGTGTGTCAGGCTCTATCTTCGCGGGCGGAGCAGCAGCAGGAGGTGCGGCTGCTCCTGCAGGAGAAGGACCACTACAGGGAGCAGGTCAGAACGCTCACTGAACAATCCGATAAATTGGAGCTCCTCCTGCTGAGCTCACAGGGGGAGGAGCTACAGCTGAGAACACGCCTCCGCAGACTCAGCAGCAACACCCACCAGGTGAGGAGGAGGAGGAGGAAGAGGAGGTGTTGATTTTATGATGATGTAATGAGAACTCTCTCTCCCGCACAGACTGATCTGAGTGTGAGCAGCGAGGGGGAGGAGCCCATGCAGGAGGCAGCTAAAGGTGAGAGTCATGTGACCCGTGTCATGTGACTGGTATTGTGTGACCTGTGTCATGTGACCCGTGTCATGTGACTGGTATTGTGCGACCCGTGTCATGTGACTGGTATTGTGTGACCTGTGTCATGTGACTGGTATTGTGTGACCCGTGTCATGTGACCCGTGTCATGTGACTGGTATTGTGTGACCCGTGTCATGTGACCCGTGTCATGTGACTGGTATTGTGTGACCTGTGTCATCAGAGGTGCGCAGTGTGACACTCGGGGAGAACGAGGAGGTGCCGACGCTGCAGCAACAGGACTCGAGTGTGGGAGAAGCCAGAGAGTCTGAACAGAGGCCCAGCACAGCTGCATCATGGGTAATTGAGCTGAGTGTTTGCAACCACACCCACAAGCTGTGTCTCAACAAAATATATTCCTGCATTAAAATAATGTATCATGACGGTCTGGATGATTTGAAGTGATCATTTATTTTCACACTATCAATTATCACGGCAAAACTATTACGCTGAAGTAAAGTACAAAAAGTTAAAATAACGAAACCTGTAATTATTACTTGTGAAGGAATATCATTCACGTCTTACTAAACGTAGCCACGCGAACGTGAACCAGGTAAACAAATCCTTTCTGTTTCCTCTTCTGAGCGCAGCTCACGTGAAAAATGATCCTGAGATCCGTATCCGGCAGGTGAACGAATCGTTCATCCCCCGACCGAGTCATTCTTCACGTGAGCTGCATTCAACCAATCGTTTCTGTTTCCTTGGCTGAGCCGATGCTGACCACGAGAAAATGAACAAATCTTTTTCTGAGAGGACTCGTTGCTCTCGAGTCCTTGTAAGGATTCGATCACGAACGACACATCACTGGTACGTGGACGCAGCGTCCTGCAGCACCAGGCTGTGATTGGTCTCTGACTACGTCCTTTACGGAGTCTCACGTCTCCGTTTTCACAGCACAATACGGCCGTTATTAAAAGGAAGAACGTTTACGAGAGAACGGATCAGACTGAAGAGCTTTTAAATATGAGCGCTTGTACAAGCCGTCATTGGCGGACTATGAGGACGCCGGATGGCCTCTGATTCATGGAGGGAGATCTCCACCAACGAGGGGAACAAAGTCGTGGAGGAAAATACGGGACAAATGTGTCCTTGATGAAAAGCAGCAGTGTGGATGCACGGGGCAATAAAGTCTATGATACATAAATAAAGCAACCAGCGACTTCCACACACAAAGACGTGACTCTCCAGGTCGTCTTCAACAAAACACGTGACTCCACCTGTTGTTCTGGAGGTGAATCGCTCTGCAACACACGCAGGACTTTACAACCAGGAAGTGAAACCAGAGCGTAAAGACGCAGGAACCGCGGCGGCCGTCAGTAAGAGCAGCTTGTTCTGAAGTCTTATGTGAATTTGAAACATCGGTCACGTGACTGAAGACATTTCATAAACTCAGATGTGATGTTATTTATTATAATATAACATTTCTATCGGTAGATAATCAGGTGAATTCTATTACTTAACGTTACATTTAAAGTGAACTCTTCCTGCTGGCGTCTCCGTCCTCGTCTCCGTCCCCAATAGATTAAATGCTCGTCGGCCCGCACTGCATGCTGGGATACGCTGGGCAGCAAAGGATAGATCCGATTGTCCCCCACATCGCGTCCTGCAGGACTGCGTCCCTCGACGGGACATCCGAGTCGCAGCGCATGCGTCCTCAGGACACAGACACTTCTGTATACTCTCCTGTCTCCTGTCTGTCCACAGGACGAGGAGACGGACGGCTGTCTCACCTCCAGGCGACATCGTTTCTTCTACCGCAGGTCAGCGTCTTCTTCTCTCACTTTGCATTGAGCTATTGCGGCGGTTGCCATGGCGCCTGAGCCTGTTCTCGTTTCCATGACGACAGGAAGCGAGCCGTCCGGTCGAAGCTCGCCTGTAGGGAGAACACAGCCGGTAACCATGACGACAGCAGCTCAATCGACACCGACTCCGACTGAAGAAAAGATGTTTATTTCTGTCCCCTTTTATTTGTTTTAGTCTCAACAGTTTTTACACATGAAAGAAAAAGTTACAAATTAAACATTTGTTTGTTTTAATGTTGAGGATTAAATCATTTCAGTGTTTTGTTTCTTTGTTTCTCTTCCTGGCTGAAACTTTATTAATGAGTCTTTTCTCATTCATCAGAAAAATAAATCATAAGAGCAAAAGTGTGAGAGTGAAATAAATAAAATAAGGGAAACAAACATTTAACAGTACAAAGACAAGACAAACAAACAAGTACACAAGACAGAAAGAAGAAGAAGAACCACAGCAGCCGTCACACTGAGTCCACCTGATCACATCGGGCGGTTTCACCCTGCAGGGGGCAGGTAGACCCCCAGTGGGGCTCCAGCACGGCCCTTCGCCCTGAATGAGGAAAGTGCCCCTTTCTTCATCAATATTAAAGAGTAGAAATGTCATCAATTCCCCTCAGATGTCTTTTAACATCTGAAAACGGAAAAGTCACGAAATCCGTGATTTCAAAGCCTCGTCCAGCTGTTTACTGACGTGTGTCATGTTGAATGAAGAGAGGAGGAGGTCAATAATATTATAGTCAATAATATCAATAAGACGGCAATATAGCAGGTATGTAATATAAAATATATATATAGCATAATCAACTTATGCGCCCCCCCGCTCAGGACCCTGCTCAGTACCAACAGAGCTTCCTCCTTCCTTGGTGATCTTCAGGAGGAGCCTCCTCAGTCTGAAGACCACCTGCTGGGTGAAACTTCTCCACGTCGGAGAGGTTTGCTCCACCTTCACTCCTCTCTCGTTCTTGGTGGCCAGCAGGAACTCCTTCACCTGCCCGTCCCGTACCTGCTGGTGACCGTCCCACCCGAGGAGATGCCACCCCGAAGAGGACTCGGCCGCCCCCCCCCCCCTCTTTGCCTGAGAGCCTCCCCTGCTGGCCCTCGTCTCCCCCCCCCCCTCCTCCTCCATATCCTCCTCGCTGTCCGATCGGAAACACCTCCCGTCATCCGATGTGGCAGACATGACGTAGTTCAACCCCTCGGTCCTCGGTGAGGACCATGTGGGTCTGTCTCCTGTGAGAGACCACATGTCTCAGCTATGTGACCTGCACCCTGAGGACACTTTCCTTAACGGGGACTCCACCTTCCCGTGCTTCACCAGCTCCTCGAGCAGCGCTTCGTCCCGGACGAACAGAGGAACGTTCGTTATCGTCACCCTGACAGCCGGCACGGCGAGCGGCAGAACGGGCACGTGCGCCCCGCGGACCACCACGCCGTCCACGAAGAAGACTTCACGCTCCCGTGAGCCACCAGCCCCCCCACGGCCAGACCGCAGTCCTCCACGGAGCACGCGACCTGCCGACCGGCTACAAACAGCACAAACCAACACAGAAAGAGACAAAAGACACACGTACACACCGCAACACACACCGGAAATACACAAAATACAAAAAATGAGTTCACTAGTTCTGTTTAATTTAATTATTGAAATGAAAGGTGAGAGCTACACGACAGTCTGCTGAGGGATAAATAAATAAGTAATGAGTAACTAATGATGAAAACTAAGTAATGATAAAAACAGTAACTAATGCTAAAAACAGTAACTAATGCTAAAACAGTAACTAATGATAAAAACAGTAAATAATGATAAAAACAGTAACTAATGATAAAAACAGTAACTAATGATAAAAACAGTAACTAATGCTAAAAACAGTAACTAATGCTAAAAACAGTAAATAATGCTAAAAACAGTAACTAATGATAAAAACAGTAAATAATGATAAAAACAGTAAATAATGATAAAAACAGTAAGTAATGATAAAAACAGTAACTAATGATAAAAACAGTAAGTAATGATAAAAACAGTAACTAATGATAAAAACAGTAAGTAATGATAAAAACAGTAACTAATGATAAAAACAGTAACTAATGATAAAAACAGTAACTAATGATAAAAACAGTAAGTAATGATAAAAACAGTAAGTAATGATAAAAACAGTAACTAATGATAAAAACAGTAACTAATGATAAAAACAGTAAATAATGATAAAAACAGTAACTAATGATAAAAACAGTAAGTAATGATAAAAACAGTAAGTAATGATAAAACCAGTAAGTAATGATAAAACAGTAAATAATGATAAAAACAGTAACTAATGATAAACCAGTAAGTAATGATAAAAACAGTAAATAATGATAAAAACAGTAAGTAATGATAAAAACAGTAACTAATGATAAAACCAGTAAGTAATGATAAAAACAGTAAATAATGATAAAAACAGTAAGTAATGATAAAAACAGTAACTAATGATAAAAACAGTAAGTAATGATAAAACAGTAACTAATGATAAAAACAGTAAGTAATGATAAAAAACAGTAACTAATGATAAAAACAGTAACTAATGATAAAAACAGTACTAATGATAAAAACAGTAAGTAATGATAAAACCAGTAAGTAATGATAAAAACAGTAAGTAATGATAAAAACAGTAACTAATGATAAAAACAGTAACTAATGATAAAAACAGTAAATAATGATAAAAACAGTAACTAATGATAAAAACAGTAACTTACTGTTTTGTAAGTAATGATAAAAACAGTAACTAATGATAAAACAGTAAGTAATGATAAAAACAGTAAGTAATGATAAAAACAGTAAGTAATGATAAAGTCCAATATGGCCTTGTTTGATCAGTTATTTACTCAATTAGATAAATTGAGTTAGTTTGAACAAAACTATAAAATAAACATATAAATTGAAAATATCATCCTGTGTTTTTTATTTATTTATTCCTTAATATTATTTTTAATTGTCGTAAATAATTTGTGCCCTTTTATTTTGGTTTGGGTGTCGCGGGGGTCCTCCCAGTAAACACTGGTTTCCACATGTTGACGAATATGGGTCAACGTTTACACTCAGCTCGTTTCTCCACGGAGGGAGGTCCTGTATGTGAGGACCGGTTCTGATCCACCCGGAACCCGTTCCGCGTGTTCACTGTGTTCCGTTCAATAAAGTTATTTTGAACCTCCACTGTTGCATTTCTGAAGGGACAGTTCTTTAAAGTGAGTAAACCATTATTTGTGGGATTTACGATTTTCTGTGTGGCCCACGAACGTCGCGCGGGCTCGTTGCCATGACGACAAAAAGACGCGCAGCGGCCATACTGACGCACAACGCAGTGTTTTATCTTTTAATTACGGATATTTAACGGAAATAAGGCGAACCGGAAACGGTTACCACTGAACAGAACCGGACCGGAAATAAGGCGAACCGGAAACGGTTACCACTGAACAGAACCGGACCGGAAATAAGGCGAACCGGAAACGGTTACCACTGAACAGAACCGTCCGGAGGTGTTGCTGCTAAAGCTCGTGACTCGCCTGCGTTTGTGTCCTGTAGGTTCAGCTCTCTGATGGCTGGAGACAGAGACACAAGGACAACTTGTCTGTCTGCTGTGGACAGTAAGACACGCTGCAGCACGGCCAGCAGGTGGACAGGCAGAGAGGAGACAGGCAGACAGAGAGACAGAGAGGACACACACGGTTTACCCTGTTCCACCTGTCTGTCTCTCAGGTGGTTGTGTCCTCCCTGCAGCAGGAGGCAGCGTGATGAAGAAGATGAAGATGATGTGTGCAGACTTCCTGACTCTGTGGGTTCGTGCCTTTCTATTGTGTGTTGTCTCCTTGCTGATGTGAGATCCTGGAGCTCTTCATGACAACGGACACGAAAGACGGTGGATCACGTGCCTCATTTCAAATCTACAGAGCACAAAATACTTTATTATCATCACATGTTATTTATCTGACGCTTTTATCCAAAGCGACTTACAATAAGAACATTTAACCATAAGGACAGAAACTCAGAAGAACAAGAAACAAGAACGTGCATTTTCCTCAAATAAGCCGATGTACAACTTGCCGTAGATAAGAACCATTATAAGTCCAATGTAAGTGCTACAGTTAGTTAGTGTGTTAGTGGAGGTAGAGTCTGAAGAGGTGTGTCTTTAGTCTGAAGATGTGAAGGCTCTCTGTGGTCCTGATGTCTTCAGAGACCTCCTTCCACCATTTAGGAGCAGGACAGCAAAGAGTGGAGATCTAGTGGAGTGTTTTGCTCTCAGTGAGGAGGAACAAGCAGTTTATCACATGCAGAGCGGAGAGTGCGGGTCGGGTTGGACCAGGTCCTGGATGGAAGCTGGACCCCATCCATTCACAGCATGCTACGTGAGCACCATGTTTAGAACTGGA